AGCAGTGCCTGCTGGCCATCTGTATGTCTTCCTGGGAAAAATGTCTACGCAGATACTCTGCCCATTTTTTAATCTGTTTTATTCTTTTTTTTTTTTTTTTGATGTTGAGTTGTCTGAGTTCTTTGTATAGTTTGGAATATTAACCCTTTATTGGATACATTATTTGCAAATATCTTCTCCCATTCAGTAGGTTACCTTTTCATTTTGTTAATAGTTTCCTTAACTGTACTTTTTAGTTTCATGTAGTCCCATTTGTTTATTTTTCTTTTGTTTCCCTTGCATTGAGACAGATCAAAAAATTATTGCTGAGACCAACGGCACAGAGTGTACTGCTTGTGTTCTCTTCCAGGAGTTTTATGGTTTCAGGTCTTACATTTAAGTCTGTAATCCATTTTTTTTTTTTTTTTTTTGCGGTATGTGGGCCTCTCACTGTTGTGGCCTCTCCCATTGTGGAGCACAGGCTCCGGACGAGCAGGCTCAGCGGCCATGGCTCACGGGCCCAGCCGCTCCACAGCATGTGGGATCTTCCCAGACCGGGGCACGAACCCGTATCCCCTGCATCGGCAGGCGGACTCTCAACCACTGCGCCACCAGGGAAGCCCCTGTAATCCATTTTGAGCTAACTTTTGTATATGGTGGAAGAAAATGTTCTAATTTCCTTCTTTTGCGTGTAGCTCTCCAGTTTTCCCAACAACCACTTAGTGAAGGGGCTGTCTTTTCCCCCTTGCATAATATATTCTTCCCTCCTTTGTCACAGATGAATTGACCAAATAAGTATGGGTTTACTTCTGGGTTCTATTCTGTTCCACTGATCTATGTGTCTGTTTCTGTGCCGGTACCATAATGTTTATTGCAGCTTTGTAGTATAGTTTGAAATCGGGGAGCATGACACCTCCAGCTTCGTTCTTCCTTTTCAAGATTTGCTTTGGCTATTTGGAGTCCTTATGTTTCCACAAGTTTTAGAATCATTCGTTCTAGCTCTGTAAAAAAAAAAAAAAAATATGCCGTTGGTATTTTGATAGGGATTGCATTTAATCTGTAGATTAACTTGGGTAGAATGATTATTTTAATATTAATTCTTCCAACCTATGAGCATGGAATATCTGTTTGTGTGTTGTCTTCAATTTCTTTCATCAATGTCTTATAGTTTTTCAAGTACAGGTTTTTTATCTCCTTGGTGAGATTAATTCCTAGGTATGTTATTCTTTTTTTGATGTAATTGTAAATAGGATTGTTTTCTTAATTTCTCTTTCTGGTAGTTCATCGTTAATGTACAGAAATGCAACAGATTTCTGTATATTAATTTTGTATCTTTCCATTTTAGTGAATCTGTGTATTAGTTCCAATAGGTTTTTGGTGGAATCTTTAGGATTTTCTACATATAGTATCACGTCATTTGCCAACAGTGAGAGCTTTACTTCTTTTCCAATTTGGATGCCTTTTATTTATTTTCCTTGTCTGATTGCTGTGGCTAGTACTTCCAATACTACATTGAATAAAAATGACAAAAGTGGGCATCCTTGTCTTGCTCCCGATCTCAGTAGAAATGCTTCCAGCTTTCACCATTGAGTATACTATTAGCTATGGGCCTGTCACATATGGTGTCTGTTCTGTTGACGTGTGCTCAATCTATACCTGCTTTGTTGAGGGTGTTGATCATAAACGGATGTTGAATTTTGTCAAAAGCTTCTACATCTACTGAGATGATCATGTTTTGGGGTTTTTTTTATTCTTCAGTTTGTTAACGTGGTGTGTATCACATTCATTGATTTAGATATTGAATCATCCTTGCATCCCTGGGATAAATCCCACTTGATCATGGTGTACGATCCTCTCAATGTTGAATTCATTTGCAAATATTTTGTCCAGGATTTTTCAAATTCACTTGCAAATATTTTGTACGGGATTTTGCATCTATGCTCATCCGTGACATTGGCCTGTAATTTTCTTTTTTTGGAATATTGTTGTCTGGTTTTGGTATCAGGGTGATGCTGGCCTCACAGAGTAAGTTTGGAAGTGTTCCTCTCTCTCCAATATTTTGGAATAGTTTCAGAAGAATATGCGTTCTTCTTTAAATGTTTGTTAGAATTCACCCATGAGGTCATCTGGTCCTGGATTTTGTTTCCTGTGGGCTTTCTGATTACTGATTCAATTTCATTACTGGTCATCTGTCTTTTCATATTTCCTATTTCTTCCTGATTCAGTCTTGGGAGATTGTACATTTCTAGGAATCTATCCATTTCTTCTAGGTTGTCCTTTTTATCGGTGTATCATCATTTATAGTCATCTCTTACAATCTTTTGTATTTCTGTGGTGTTGGTTGTAACTTCTCCTTTTCCATTTCTGATTTTATTTGAGCCTCCTCTCTTTTCTTCATCTTTTCTTCTCTCTCTCTTTCTGCTCTTTTTCTTTCCTTCTACTAGCTCTGGGGTTTGTTTGCTCTTTTTTCTAGTTTTTTTAGGTGAAAGGTTAGATTGTTTATTTGAGATTTTTCTTGTTTCCTGAGGTAGGCTTGTATCACTTTAAACTTCCCTCTTAGAATTGCATTTGCTGCATCTCATAGATTTTTGGATCATTGTGTTTCCACCTTCATTTGTCTTCAGGTATTTTTTTTAATTTCCTTTTTGATTTCTCCAGTGACCCACTGGTTGTTTAGTAGCACACTGTTTAGCATCCATGTGTTTGTGTTTTTGCAGTTTCTATTCTCATGGTTGCTTTCTAGTCACATACTGTTGTGGTTGGAAAAGATGCTTGATATGATTTCAATTTTCTTAAATTTTTGCAGACTTGTTTTGTGGCTTAGCATGTGATCGAAATTGGAGAATGTCTTGATTATCTGCAAAACTTCATTTCTCCTTCAAATCTGAATAACAGCTTTACTAAGTAGAGTATTCTGAGTTGTACGTTTTTTCCTTTCGTCACTTTAAATATATCATGCCACTTCCTTCTGGCCTGAAGAGTTTCTGCTGGGCCACACACAGGCCCAGAAGAAATGGTGATGGGTCAATGCTGGTATCTGGGAGGCAGGTGGTCTGCAGCCCCAGGTGTGGGGGTTAGAAGGGCTCTGAGCCTTCTGTGAGTCTGCACGGTGAGGGGAGAGAGAGGACAGGGGTTGAGAGAGGGCTCTGTGAGTTCACCATGGGGGCAGACTGGAGCAAGTTTACAGATGATAAGGACCAAGAGAGGTGAGGGTGAAGACACCGGTGAGTAAAAGGTGACGAGGCCAATCCCGGGGCTGAAGCAGAGTGGGCCTGGTGGGGGAAGCCCCCATGGCTTTGGGGAGTCCTGATGGTCTAGGCCTCTCCAAGAGGCAGGGCTTTGCTAACAGCATCTCCTCTTGTCATGAAATGTGCATCTTTACTAATTACTTCAGTCTCACAGAGTGATTATTAGTTCCACATTTCAGGGAAAACTTTATGTCAGCACATCAGATAGGTTTCACTGAACAAAATTTAAGAGGTCCCAGCTCTGTTGTGGGTGCTGGAGACACAAGAGAAAACAGAACAACGCCGGAGGGAGAGGCACACGGACAGACACGGTGCAGGGTTACAGGCACGCAGGAGGGCCTTGGTGCCTCCGGTAACACCTCCCACTCCGCCCAAGGATCCGGAGGGAATGGCACCGTGTGGAATGGTTTACAAATGAATAAAACCAATGCTAGTTTCTAAAAATAAGCACGTTTACATCATTTCTCCATTGATTTACTTCAGACTAGATACAATTTACTTCACCTTAATGTGTTTTAGTTAGTATTACTGCAACCCATAATTTACATCCGCAATCCGTAATCACACCTAACATCTCTGTCCCTCTACACCAAGTGTTCTGGACAAATCATCGGGCTCTTAAAGGCAGTATTTATAGGAAAACTCAACTTAGGTACCCCTTAGGGAAATGTGTGTAAGGATCAGATCTCCAGCTGTGTGGTTTTCTAAAATGGGGCACACTTTGGCCGCAGCTGTGGCTGTCTTGCCGTTTTCAGAGCTGGGAGACGAGGAGGCTGTTGTAATTGCTGACCCCCCTGTGAGCATGTGAGACTGGATAATATATGGAATGCAAAAAAAAAAAAAATCATCAAAAGTAAAAAAAAAAGGGGCACATAATCACCAATACACTTTTAGAATTCAAAGTCAGAACTTAGCCTATACAAATAGCTCTGCATTCATTTAGTCTCTATAAAAGTGAGGTAATAGGTGACACACCTTAATTTTCTTTTTCTTTTGTTTTTTTTGGCCACACCATGCTGCAAGTGGGATCTTAGTTCCCTGACTAGGAATTGAACCTCCACCCCCTGCAGGGGAAGCATGGAGTCTTAACTACTGGACCGCCAGGGAAGCTCCCCCCCACCTTTTTTTTGCATCTTAATTTTAAAATCTGACAAAGATTAGTTCAACACAAAAATCCAATTAAAAAAACCGGTTTTCAATAAATTTCAATTAATTATACTGATCATAAATGATTTTTATTAAGGAATGCATAGTCTTGTGATTCAAAACCAAATATTTTAAAAGAATGATTTACCTGATAATGATATGAAAGTATTGTTTAAAATTGTACTAAAAAGCAAAAGACATTTAGAAGAACTTGTCTCATTTTAGAAAACATAGACTTTAAGGATTAAAAGTAACTTTCCAAACACATTGCGAGAATTAAAAGCTCACGTCACAGAAACTTTCCAAACACATTGCGAGAATTAAAAGCTCACGTCACAGAAACGTTTAATAACAAACATCGACCAACGGTTTACAAGTTGTACAATAAATAAAAAAGCCTCCTAGTTTTTTTCCTCACCAAAAAAACATGAACTGATGAAATAACAATAGAAAGTTGACATTAATTTCTGAAGAAAAGGCACATCCAGGCAAAAGAGTCAAGGCGATTTGTAAAACGCAGAGTTACATGTACACGGTGCATAATCACTGCACGCAGAGGCGGGTTCCGGGAGACTCTGAGGTCCGGGAATGCGGTGCCAGCTCCGGCCGGTCGCCTGGCCGCGGTCCTCAGAGGCTGGACCTTCTCTCGGGCCGCGGTGCACACCTAGCAACGGCCGCTCGCCAAAGCAGCGGGGCCAGGAGGAGGCTGAGCGTGGTCACACTCAGGATGAGGAGGTACACCTGCCGGGGGCGGGGCGTCAGCGCGGCCAGGGGCGTGTCTCCACATCACGGTGTGCGAGCCTCTGGTGCCCGGACTGGACAAGGGCGCCCCCTTCCCCAAGAGGCTCCGGGGACTGGGGCGCCCCCCACCCCCACCCCAGCCCTACTCTCCCTAACAACCCCACTCCGCCAGCCGGGCAGAAACTCACCTCCCGAGAGATGACACGTGCTCTGCGTGCCCGGCTCCCCAGGACCAGAGAGAACTCGCTGACCTGGGCCAGCCCCGCGGCCACGATCCACTTGATGTACTGGCTGGGGTTGGGCAGCAGCAGAGACAGGACCAGGGCTGCCAGGGCGAACTGCCAGAGCGGCAGGTCACGCTCTGCCAGGCCGGGCCCGGAGCACTGCCCGCAGGAAGCAGGTTGGGTCCGGGGCGGGGAGGCCGCCCCAGCACCGCGCGGGAGGACGCACGGAGACACCCCGGGGAAAACCAAGGCCCTCCCGCCAAGCGAGTATCGTGCAGCGTTCAGAATGGAAACTTTGTTTTCAACGCAATGTAAAGAAAGCGCGGAGGAAAGCAGCCTGCGGCGGGCAGTGCAGTTCAGCCGCCATCGGGGCGCCGCCCCTTCTCATCCGCAAAGCCAGTGGCCACCGCCCAGGCCTCGCCCACTCCCAGAATCCCATGCTGACACGGGCACCTCAACAATTTGTAGTCACAGAGATCAGACAAGTGGAAAGTGGCAAAATAGTTCTCAGTGGCCGTTAAAGTGTACGTTTGTGTCACCAGAACAGGGTTTGCGGTTCTTTAGACTCACTTAGAAGTCAAATTACAGAGCAAGGGTGTCACTGGAGGATCCAGAGAGCAGTTTCTCCAGTCCCAGCTTCTGAAACCCCCATTTTCAACACAAACTCTGAGATGAAGGGCCATCCCGATCCAAGAAGCCCCAGCTGCCAGGCTGCGCTGGGCGGGGGGTATACACAGGCAGGAAGCGAGGCATGTGGTGTGACAGGTGAAAGCAAAGGCAGGGTGGACTCACAAGCAGGGGCCCTACCTTCATGGCCACCACCGAGAGCGTGAGGGCCAGCAGCACGGCGAGCTCGCGCAGCACGAAGGTGGGGAACACGTGAAGGCCTGAGGGACGGGGACGGGCGATCATCCGGGCTGGGCGGCTGGCCTCCCTGCTACCCCTACATCCACAGGCTCCTCCACCGGGACGGGAAGGGGCAGGGTGTCTCCCACCCACTCCACCCCGAGACCCCCAGCAGAGGGCCGGGTGACTCGGTGCTCCCCACCCTGTTTCCACGGGCTTCAGAACCTGCCTCTCGAGGAACCCAGAGTCTCTGGGGCTCTTGGACCCACTGAGCAGTGCAGGGTGTGAGCGAGAGGCCAGATGGCTGTGCTGTGACCGCGAGCGGGACTGCCCCCCTCCATGGGGTCATTCCCAGGGCAGCAGCCTTGACACACTAGTTTGATTTTTTTGTATTAAAATTAGAATTTCTTCCTGCACTTGGTGTGGACGTGCTGAAGTGGGCCTGCCACCCTGCTGAGCGGTGGACCCTCAGGACCACCAGTCAGGAGCCCCCGTCCCTCAGCTCAAACCTTCCCTCCTTCTAAGGGAGAGTCCCTCAGACCCTAGCCGCCACAGGGACTGTTTTCGCGGCACAAGCTAAGTAGAAACACGTGTGAGCAGATGAGACCCAGTGGGAGTGTCACCCCTGGAGGAGGAGGGTCACCTATGGACGCGAAGAACACGATGGCCAGGAAGTCGCGGACGGGCTCCATGCAGGACACGACCTCCTCAGCGACCACATGGCCCTGGGAGGACACCAGGGCTCCGGCCAGGAAGCAGCCCAGCTCCATAGACACGTCCAGGAGCTCGGTGACCTGAGGGGAGGAGGACACAGGTCACCTGCCAGCGTCTCTGCTGAGGACACACGAGAGGGCCTCTCGGACGCGGCGGGATGTCCCCATAAAACTGCGACAAGCCAGCTTCCCTGCCCCCGCCCAGGCCTCTGCGGTGTCCCAGGAGAACCCCACAGAAGGCACGGCAGTGGACGTCAGCTCACTGACCATGAGCGAGAGGAAACGGTCATACAACAGTTGCAACCATCGTTCGTGTAGGCTGCTGCGGACGTTTTGAGTGAGACTATTTTCCAAGATCTAAGCATTCGTGACACACTTTCTTTACCCTGAATCAATAAACAGCCCGACTCCCCCGGCATTAAACACGTGGCGCACAAAACTATTTCCCCACCCCCACCCCCGCCGGCGTCTAGAGGAAGGAAGTGGACACGGCGTTTAACTTGGGGAGGTAAATCCAGTGACGAGAACAGCAAAGACAGACGGACAATGTTCCAGGAAGCCCCACTGACGACTGTGTCAGAGCCCATCAGATGCCTGGGAGCGGATCCGACACAGGGCTCGCTGCCGCCACACACACGACACACGCCGGGCAGCGCGGACACGGACACAGGGAACCAAGGGCGCCTAGCGTTACAGGAACAGTCACAGAACTCCCTGTGCCTGGAAGCCGACCAGCCGAACCCATCCCCGTGACCCAGGAGACCACGACCAGACAGCCTGCGGAGAGGAGGCCGGGCTGGCCGGCCGCCTGCCTGGGGACAGCAGGGCGTCTGGGCCACCCATGCTCCGCCACGCGGCTTCTGTGCTGTGACCTTCGACTTCGACTTCACGGGGTGAGGAGGCGCTCGTGGAGAACAGGCCCTGACCACGGCCATCCACCCCGCACTGACTCGCCTCCCATGGACGGCAGGTCTCAGTGAGAAAAGAAAGCGGTGCGTTTCCAGAGGACAACACAGAGCATCTCCGTGAGCTGGAGCCGGAAAACACGTGTCACGCAGGACCCTGAAGTGCTGCCCTTAAAGAATGACCACGGCACCACGCTACAATTAGGAACTTCCGTTCAAAACAACGTCGTCAAGAGAGTGAAAGGCAAGTCACGAACTGCAAGATATTAGCAAAACTGTGTCTGACAAGGAATATTATTCAGCCGTGGAAAGGAATGAAGCACTGACATGCGCTACAGCTTGGGGTCAGCCTCTGAAACATGCTGGTCGGGGAGGAGGGCACAGCCACCTGGGGAAACCAGCCGCGGTCACGCAGGCCCACACGGCCTGGGCCTAGACCCGCACATGCAGCCTCACTCCCACGGCCCGGAACGTCTAAGCACAGAGGGCGCGAGTGAGCGGAGGCCTGGGGCGCTACACACCTTCCCCAGCGCCCAGCACCTGCAGCAGGTGCTCAGGAGACACGGGCCGCGGTGCGAGGCTGCTTCAGCTCAAGTGCCACTGGGTGGCAGCACGAAGCGCCGGGTCGGAGCGCTCTGCTGGGTGTCATTCCAGAGAGGACACTCCAGATGGGGTGGAGCAACGCACAAAACTGAAGTCGGTCACATACGTGAACGGCTCTGAGCAAAAGCAAACCTCAGTCTTCTCCCAAGATTACGAGACACTAGCAGGCAACGCAACTGTGTAAGGAAGTTGTTTTCCTCAGTGTCCTTTATAGGATTAAACTTTTCTCTTGACCTAACTGTAGGCTCACGTGCAGTTCTACGAAGTCATCCAGAGACCCCCGGTACCTTCCCCCGGGCTCCCCCACGGCAGCATCTTCCCAAGTCACAGCACGAGGTCACAGCACGAGTCCTGTGGGTGTGACACCGTGGAGCCACGTGGGCTGCCCGTGACCTCCGGGGTCCTCCCCACCACCCTCCCTCCTCAGCACCCGGCCAGCGGCCTTCCCCCATCTCTGATCTGTCTTCACGAACTGCACGGAAGTGGAGTGACACAGCTCCTGACCTTGGGGACTGGCTTTTCGAGTCAGCACAGCTCTCCGGCGACTCATGGACCCACGGTTCAAAGCTGGGTGGCCGCCCTGGCGTGGAGGGCCGTGGCTGGCTGAACTACGCGCCTGAGGAAGGCCATCTGGGCGGTCTGGGCCGATGGGAGTACAGCTGTTGTCACGCTCACACGTCAGTTTCCACATGAACACGGGTCTTCACTTCTCCGGCGCACGTCAAGGGGCGCAGCTCTTCCGTGCAGGTGATGCCCCCAGAGCTGGGACTGTTTACAGGGTCTCCGGCCCCTCCCCTGCTCTCCCATGAGAAGCCTGTCCCTTAACTGGGACGGCCGCCTCCAAAACAAGCCTCTATGGTGAGCTTTTCACGTTACAGCGAAAGAACTTATGCTGCTGACTAGCTTGTTCTCATCAAACAGAACAAAAAGTCGTTTTAAACTGTGATTCTTGCTTCGGATGCAATGCGTCTAAGACAGACTCGCACGGTTTCACACTCACAAACACCATCCCAGCAGAGAGCCTAGAGCGCGGGCAGAAGTGCCAGGCAGCACGACTGTGCACGGATAAAAACACCCACAAGTGTCTCACGTATGCCAACTGCTAGTAAAATGAAAGAAAAAGGACCAATCACAAGCTCTCGGTGAACAGAGGATAAGTCAGGCGATGTAAGTGGCGGGCATTTGGGGCCTTACCGTCAGCATGAGGAAGGTGAAAGCGGAGACTCCAAGGATGAGGACCTCCTTGTTCCCCTTGCTCTCCGCGTGCAGCCTCCGGCAGTACGGTCCCACGAGGTAGGTCCTCACGACAAGACAGAAGAGGAGAACCGCAGCAAGCGAGAAGAGGACCTGCCCTACCAGGCCCAGGACGCGCAGGATCTCCATGGCGACGCTGGGAAAGAGAGGGAGACGCCCGATTCTCCTCAGAATACACTCAAGTCCAACAAAATGACCTTTCATTCCTTTCTAACATTACAAAGTAAATGACCCAAATCGCAGACATTTTCATTTCTCAATGTTAGAATAAAATCCATCAAATATTAACCTCAGAAATTAAGTTACTTGAATCGAACATGGACGCTGAATTGTGTTGCAATTAATACTTTGGAGTAAGTACATTTTATAGGATGTAATGACTCGTGACTGACAGCTTATGTGTCTCCATCGATGACAGATGATAAAAGTCCTCACTGGGGATTAACCCCCATTTGAAATTCTTCATAAGGCAACAGTCGCTCTGTAACACGACACTGCAGGCTCCCCACCAAAGCATGACTGGGGGATGCCAGCGACTTTCAGAAAAGCCTTCCCTTATCCCAAGCCAGAACTCTGAATTTTCTGTTATTTAGTCATGGAGAAAAGGGTTCTGCACGAAGCCCTTTTTAGAATATGCCATTCAGATCTCAATATATTGTTAAGATCTCAACCTAATGACTTTCACAAGATAGGCACTATTGTGCATCTGTCGTGTTTATGGTAACATACATAGTTTTTAACCCCAGTTCCCCATCACATTTAGGAAACCCTTCAGTCCAAAATTCTGGTTTAAGAGCTCTTGATGGAAGAATATCAATCAGGTTTTGCTAAGAGAGGACTCACCCCTGCAGCCAGGCCTAGACCAGCAGCCCAGACACATCCCAGGTGTGTGATGCCTCAGGATGTCAGAGCAGAGCCTCTGTGAACACACACGGCTAAGGCTCAGGATGACAGCCCAGGGGAGAAGGCGGGGTCTGTGGCCTCGGCAGGAAGAGAAACCTGCTCGAAGTCCCAGCCAGGCCCCCAGAGCCCGGCAGCTGACGCCGAACACCTCACCCACCGCACGCGGTGGGGCTCCACCACCCGCAACCCGGACCCGGGCCTCAGGGCCGGCACCGGGCGCCCCTTCCCCAGCTGCCCTCTTCCCCCTGTACCCCAGTGACCCCTGACTCATCCCATTCAATTGGCTGCAGAGGCCAAAGCAACACATGGGGATGCGGTCTGATGTCCATGACCCGAGGGCCGGGGCCACGTCTCCTGGGCTGGACCCGGGAATGGATCGTCCAGGCTTAGCCACACTGGGGGCGGCCTGTGGGGGAGCTCGTGCGCCGTCCACGTCCACCCTTGACAGACGGCCCTGCCCAACAGGGAGAGGCGCCCCCGGACTTCCTTCCGTGGGGGGCAGGGGCCGGGGTGCTCTCCCACCCGCTTTTGCTGAGCTAGCCGCTCTCAGCGCTCACCTATCTGTTAACTGCGTTAGTCTCATTTTTCTCATTGATTTGTAGATCTTCATGAAATGAGAAACTTAACCCTCTGTCTTAAAATCAACTATACTTCGAGTTTAAACAATAAGACAGAACGTGTACACACATCTCTTTCCTATTTGTCTTTGGCCTGCTTACCTAATGTCTTCCTGTACATGTATGTGCATGTACACGTGTGTGCACACATGTATGTGTATATGTATGTGTGCAGGTCTGTGTGTGTGTATCCATGCGTGTGCGCGGGTGGATGTGTGTTTGTGTGTGCACGGACACGTGCGTGTATTTAAACATTCAAAGTATGAAACTTCAGTGACACGGATCGCATTTCTTGTTCTTTGTGGCTTCTGGAATCTGTGTTCTGCCTGAATGTCTTCAATGTTTAGTAATACATTCATCCATACTTTCTTCTAGAACTTTCATGGTTTTGCAAGATTTTAATCCTAGTAAAATCTGAATTACTGTATTTTTTATCATAGTTCCTGTGTTCTGTCCGTTACCTGTGAGATACCTGGAGGGAAGAAGGGAATTCCTTCCTTCAGGAAAGATCACGACGAGTTCCGAGGAAGCTGAATTAACAGGCAAAGCTTATACTAACACTACTATTGATCTTATTTAATAGTTTTCACTATAAGTTCTCCCTGGTTATCAAAACTGGAAAAGAGGTTTTCCCAAATTATACAGAAAAGTAAATAAACAATAAAATCACCGTAATCTACTCCTGTACTGGACACTGTGATACACATTTCTAGCCCCCATCTTCTTACGCAGTTAAAATAATACTGTATGTAATTTTTAACAGCTTTATTGATACATGTCTCATTTCACACAATTCACCCGTTTAAAGTATACAATTCAACGGCTTCTAGTCAGAGAGTTGTGCCACCACCACAGTCTCAGAACGTATTTCATCCCTGAGAGAAAAAGCCTGAACCCCTTACACTCACTCCCCAAGCCCAGCCCCCAGCACCACCAACCTGCTGTCTCCATGGATCTGCCTGTTCTGGACGTTTCATATAAACAGAATCGTTTGTGGGAACCATGGTGTGGCCTTTGGCGTCTGTCCTCAGGGCTCATCCACGCTGTAGTGTGTGTCAGCGCGTCATTCCTTTTTATGGCTGAATAACATTTCACTGTATCTTTTATTTACCTGACCATTAGCTAATGGATATTTGAGTTGTTTCCACGTCTTAGCTATCATGACTAATGCTGCCGTGAACATTCACGCACAAGTTTTTTTTTTTACTGTGGTAAAATATTCGTAACATAAAATTTACCACCTTCCCCATTAGTGTGTAACTCATGGCACGAGGGGCATTCACGTGGCTGTGCCGCCTTCGCCCCCCCCAAAGGTGACACCTGTGGACAGGTGTTTCCATTCCTGTGGGGTACACACCCTGGAGCAGAAGAGCTGAGTCACATGGCAGCTCCATGTTTCTCCTTCTGAGAAATACTATATGTGGTCTTGACTCTTTTTTACAACCTAACACAACGCAGGGCATTTTCCCATGTCATTAAAATTCTCGGTAAACATGGCCTCTCATGAAAAAACGGGAATTAAGTCAACAGGACCAGTACCAGTACTGGATGAATTTTTAAATTAGGAAGATAAAAAGAAAGGCTTTCCTAGTCTTCTGCCTGAGCCGTACCTGTCCGCCTGGCGGGGGCCTGGCTCCCAGGTGACGCCCGCAGCTCCCAGGGGCCCGGACACTCTTGGCCGCGGTTCGGATTCTGCCTGGGAAAGGGGGCTCCCACCTCTCCCGGGAAGGGCTTACTGTACATCCCAAACAGAACTCAAACGACTTTCAGCTAAAGTTACAAATCCTTTTTCTGTCTAAATGTTTGTTCAGTTACTTACCCTGAAAATCTGTAGCCAGAAGGACTAATGCGACAAAGGGTCGCTTTTCTGACAGTTAAAGACCTTTGGATCAAAGAAAAATGACAGACAAAGGCCTTCCTGACAAACGGCCTTTAACAGCTGCACATACGAGGGGCGTGTCAGGTGCCTTACGAGTCTCTCCTGTTGACAGCCAGCACACTGTCCAGGTTCCACCTTGTTCCCATCCTACAGGTGAGAACACAGCCTGCAGGGCTGGCAAATGGAGAGCTGGGGTTCCAGGGTGGCCACACACCAGGGCCGGAGCCTTCACCTCTGGGAATCTCAGTTAAAAACCATTCCCTCCTTCTACTTTCCCCGCCAGGCTGAGCTTCCTGAGAGCGGAGAAGAGATCTTGATCACTTTGGATTGCTGAAACTTATTACAATATCTGGCAAAAGGCAAATACTAAAAATACAAAACGCTTCCACCCCGCTGGTCAGCAATGAGGCAGCCTGTCCACGCTCCCCGGACGGGGCTCAGCAGGA